CTTTACTTCGACCTTTGCCTTTTCCTTCAAGTGATCGTCGTGCAATACGCCTTACCTTTCGGACTGGTTTCTTCATGAATCTCCGTCAGCGACGCTGGTGTTCTTTATAGCCTAAAAATAAGCATTGAGCTTGTTGCTCTTCAGTAAGGTATGTTGGCGTATCAGAATAATCCAAGGCAGTAGTTTCGCCGTCTGAAGACGCATCCGCGGAGTCGAAGTCGGACTCGGCGGGTTGCCCCGCTGAGCCCATTAGGGCCATGGCTTGCATGGGGGCGACCGCGCCGGGCGGCCCCCTAGGTCTGGCCCAGGGAATCTTGCGACCCCGAGGCCGTTCCACCATTCAGAGCCAGCAGTGTAGTGGTCTCAGCTGGTTGTGGATCATCATTCCAGACGTTGTTGGCAAGTTGCCCTGCGTTGGCCTCCGCGTGGAAAGTCTCGGTTCGGTGACCGTGACTAAAGATGCCACCAATATTGCCTGGGGTTCTCTCAGCAATGTGAGCATATGATCTCATACGTTCAAGTAGAGCGTCAAATTGTTGATGCTCTCTCGGCATATGGCGGTTCAGAGACTGCAGGATTTGTCGTGCGCGCGATGCCCCCACTCCAAGGGCTCTGAATAGAACCGCTGTTAGGATTTGGACGTTGGGAATGTTGAAGCCGGCTGTTTCAGCTTCGTAGCGGGCTATCTCAAACCGTGCTAGCGTCTGGTCGATACGTTCACCCACATGGACTCGGAAGTCAATGAGAGCCGTGCCAGAGTTGAATTGGCGCTCCTCTTCTAAGTTCTCGAACTTCGTGCTTAAGAGGAACATAGTGTAGGTGACGCCGTCGGTGTGGCGGCTACCTCTGTTGACACCAAACTTAATAACTGCTGGAGGGACTCTCATGGGCATGGTCCGTGCGAGACCTCCCAAACCTCGCTACAGAGCTGCAGCCTGCTGGGAGGGCGCCATATTGCCTGCGGTCACACTGATCCAGGCATGTCCTTCGCGGACGAATTCGCGAAAAGGTACTTGACTGGCTGGGTCCCAATGGGGGCAGGTCGTTCTCGTATCGTCTCCGCCACGCAAATGTCCTACCGCGCGCCCGATAGCGACCCATGTGAGCCCAAAGATAGTAACACCAATCCTATGGCCTCGTAAGTCGTAGTCCGATGTGGTCGGTTGGGACTTCTGTTGTTTAGTCGTAAGTCTGCGTGGGGTCGGAGGCGGCAGTATTTCGTATCGCATGTTTCCATGCATTATAGATTCGAAGAAAATTTCCAACTGGAATAGGCGAGTGGACTTCAGGAGTGTAGTAGCGCAGGGATGTAAGATGTAGGTAAGAGACCTCCGCTTGGACAGAGGTATCGGTGCAAGTGTCCTTGCGGCACTGCGTAGTTATGTTCATTTCTCCGCGCAACCCCACTGCACCCTGATGTTCCACCATGTCCGTAGTCCACCAGATAGTGCCGTGTATGGTGAGGAGTAGAGCAAGAGCTGACCACCATAGGCCAACTCCGCTACCAAGTTTGAAGGGGGCTGGGAGGCCCAACCAACAGCTTCGCCTTAGGCGAAGCCAAGCTCCAGCTCTGCTGTACCGTAGTAGCGATAGTCCCAGTAGGAGAGGCTGTGCCATCTCAAGCAGCAGGAAGATCCTTTTGGTCTCGATAGCGACTGTGTGCCTCGCAGTGAGGCAGTCATATTTTGGCGGCTGGCCGCTTGAGCCGACGCGGCCGCGGGCGCACGCTCGCTTCCACTCCTTACGTCCCTCAGCTCGCTTTAAAGTTATGGACCCATTCCCCGGGACCGTTTCCTCCTGAGTCGTTTCCTGACGGTCCCGGGGCCTGGCGAGGGCCCCCGGAAGCCGAAAATCCGCCGACCCTGTCGGCGGATGTGAAGGAATTGTCTGTTCGAGTCGTCGTCTCCGTCAGTCGTCGTCTCCTTCCCTGCGCCCTCCTCCTCAAGCTTGCCAGCGAGAGAAGAACCTTGCCATGTCGTAATCGAGTCGAAGGACTCGAAGGGAAGCCCCTTCTCTTTGATCCCTCCCCCGTCGGGGGGGCTGGGTCCCCGGGGGGGGGGGTCAGATACCCATCCCCCCCTGGGGCCCCAGGGCCTCAGAAAGTACCACTACAGGCCAAGAGTGCCCCAAGAGGCTGCCGAGACGGTCCAAGAGGGCCCCCAATCGCTAAACGATCGGTCCAAAACGCTTTCACGCCCTCCAGACTGCCCAGGAGGCCTCCAGGACGTCCCAAGGCGCCTCCAAGAGCACTCCCGAGAGGGCCCCAAGAGGCCAAATGCATTGATTTCCCGTTGGTTTTTCTGAGATTAGGCGTTCTCGCCTTTTCCACTCCCCGCCGCTCCAAAACTGCGCAAGCGGCCCCCAAGATCGCCCCAAGAGGCCTCCAAGAGGGCCCCCAAACAGCCCAAGAGGACCCCAAGACAGCCCAAGAGTCCTCCAAGACGGCCCAAGAGGCCCCCAAGACGGCTCCAGGAGCGTGCCCAGACGGGGGACCCGAAAGGACATTTCGAGCCCTCGGCCCCAAGAGAGGCCCCAAGAGGTTCTCAAGCGGCCCCAAGAGGCCCACAACAGGTCCCCAGGAAGTCCGAAGAGGCCCCGAAGAGGCTCCCAATAGGCCCCCAAGAGGCTCCCAAGAGGCTCCCAAAATTCCTCCCCAGAGGCCCCCGAGAGACTTCCAAACAGACCCCAAGAACCATCCCTGAGGACTCTGGCCCACGTCGTCGTCGTCGTCGTTGCCGCCGCCGCCGCCGCCGTCGTCGTCGTCGTCGTCGTCGTCGTCGTCGTCGTCGTCGTCGTCGTCGTCGTCATCTCCCTTCAGGGTCGGCGGCACCGGCCGTAAGGCCTTCACAATAGCGAAAAACCTCACGTCGTGATTTTTCACCACGCGAGGAGGTCTGGGAAAAAGGGGGACTGGCTCAGGGGGGGACACGTTGACTTGGATTCGGCGATGCGCAGCCGCAAGATCAGCGATGGGCCCACGATGGCGAAGCTGCACGCACCTGGTCGGAATGGGGGGCCTGGGCCCCGCCTGGTGAAGCACGCTCAACCCGGCCAAGTACACCCAAGACAGGAGCTTGATATCGCACGGTTGAATACTTGATTGGGCCAATCCCTGGGGAAACCAAGAGGAACCGATACCACTACTTCCTGGACCTCTCCAGGGATGCGTTCTGACCAGGGTTTCGAGCCAGATCCAGCGGTGGCGACGAGGGCCTCCCAGGAAGCCGAATCAGGTGAAAACGGGCGAAGGGTAGCGGTGTCGGTACTTTTTTCTCCTCTGAATCCCCCTGTCCTTGCCGCTGATCACCAGGTCTCTGGCAGCCGCCGCCGCCGCCGCTGGGGGCGCCGGGGCCGAGGCGGCCCCGCGCCGCGGGGCGGCGTCTTGGGCCGGGCTAGGTCGCCCCGCTGCGTGGCGAACCCCAGCAGGCACGAAGGCCATGACCCACCCCGAGCGAGCAAGCGAGTCGCCACGGAGCGCGCGGAGAGTCGGGAGCCTGGCTTGGCCTTGTGCCAGGAAGGCTGCTGGCCGACCTGTGCGACCCAAGGGTCTGGCGGGCAAGGGCCCCGGAACCCCGAGGGACAACGCAGGAAAAGCTGGACACTCAATCCTGAAAAGCCGAGGCACGACCCACAGGAGCGAGAGGGGACGACCCAAGGAAACGAGGGAACGCCACCCCCGGAAACCCGAAAGCGCCCCAGGAAGCGGTCGACATCGTGGGCCGTCGTCGTCACCGTCGTCGGTCGCCATCGTTTTCATCATCGTTTTCGTCATCGGCGTCGTCGAAGGCTTCGTCGGGAGCCGTCGAACGCCCCTCGGCGGCCATCGGCGGCCCTCGGACGCGCAGATCAGCGGCGCGGAGAACGACGACGACGACGACGACGACGACGACGACGACGACGACGACCAGGACCCCTCCGAACCTCCCTCAACACAACTCCCTCAGCGTCACCCTCCCTTCTCCACTTCCTCTCCGCCATGCTCTGGGAAACCTGACCGGACAAGAACTGGAAGCGTCCTTTCATGTCCTGGGCTTATGAGATATCCTACGTTCTTAGTATGCGGTGCGCAAGTCTGTCGTGGCGTGCGTGCGTTTGCGCGTGCGCGTGCGCGCGCGTGCGTGGAATGTGTGCATGTGCGTCCGTGCGTGGTGGTCTGCAACACTGCTGTGTTGTGCCGTGCTGCTCTGCCGTGCTTCTGCGGTCTGCGTGAACGTATGTTGCCTCCCTGTGTGTGAGTGTGTGCGCGTGCGCGCGTGTATGTGTGTGTGTGTGTGCGTGTGTATGTGTCTGTGTGTTCGTGTGCGTGTGCGTGTGCGTGTGCGTGTGTCTGCGTGTGTGCGTGTGCCTGTGTGCGTGTGCCTGTGCGTGCGGCTGTGTGAACAAATGTTCTGGGTGTTCTGCCGTGCTCCTGCGTGTTCTGCCGTGTTCCTATGTGTTCTGCCGAGCTCCTGTGTGTTCTGCCATGCTCCTGTGTGTTCTGCCGTGCTGCTGCTTGTTCTGCCGTGCTCCTAGGTGATTTGTGTAATATGCCGCGCTCCGGTGTGTTAAAGTTAAAGTTAAAGACGGGGCCTTAAAGGCGAAGCGCTCCGGTGTGTTCTGCCGTGCTCCTGCGTGGTCTGCCGTGCTCCTATGTATTCTGTGTGTTAAAGTTAAAGACGGGGCCTTCAAGGCAAGTGGTGGCCAGAAACGCAGACAGGGCCAGACGGGGCCCGCGTTCCCGAAAGAAGCCGAGTCCTGAGACACGCCCTCCCAAGTGGGGCCACCTAGGGCCGCCTCGCGACACGGGCCAGGGAAGGCGGACGGCAAAGCCACTGGCTCTGGCCCCCAACCTGCCCACGCCAATCATGCAAGCACTGCGAGAACAGAAGCTACGCATGACCACAACCGAACTCGACTGCATTGCAAATACCCCACGCGCACATTCAAATGCAGGAGACATAACCCACTGAACAACCACAGCCCCCCACCTCCAATGGGGGGCAGACGTGCAAGGCGAACCATCACTCATAAGGCATTCCGAACACGCAGGGACAAGACGTCTCACGAGGAGCACTAACCACGCTGCTCCAACCACTCCTCGAATCCAAGCCTGGAGGCAGCGGCGCCCCGCCTGCAGTACCTCCAGCGCTCGCTCCTTCATCCGAGGGCGCCTGCACCGTCGCGGCATCCGCGGCGAGCCAAGCGCGGGCGACAGCCGCCCTCGCACGCCAGCAATCACGAGCCGCGACCTCGCCACGAGCCCTGGCGCCGCCGCCCTCACGGAAGAGGGCGCGCGGGAAGGCGTCGAGGTGCGCGGCGGCGGCGGCGGCAACATGTCCAGCAGGTTCGGCAGCTGGCGGCCCCCTGACCGAGCATGCGGTGGCCACGTCGGCCTCGCCGTCGAGGATCACGCCGTCGGAGTCGGAGCACTCGCCAGCAGCGCGCGGCGGCGCCGCCATAGCGCCCGCGGCCTGCACGAAGTCCACCTCGCAGTCAACCTCCGACACCCCAGGGAAGAGAGGGAAAGGCACGTAGCAATCGCCGATGCGGGCGCCACGCCCAACGCGGGCACGCCCAGCCAGCTCGACCTCCATGTTAAGCTGCTGCTGCGCCTCGTCGCACTCATCGACGTCGATCTGGGCCTGCATCACCTGGGCACCGCCGCCGCCGGCAACGGGGTCAACCCCAGCTGGGGCGAAGGGCCTCGCAGCCGACCGCAACGCCGTGCGCAGGGCCACAACTCGGCCAAGCCGCGGCAGCGCCTCCGCCTCGCAAATCTCCACGTGGCACTCGAACTTGCGCTCTCGCCTCGCCTCCAGCCTGGCGGACCGCTGGAGCCGCCGCGGGGCGAGGCCACGCGCCGGCGCAACCCTGACCCCAGGGGCGTCGGCGTGGAGAGCCACATTCCTCCGCACTGCATCCTCCTGCTCGGGGGCCACTCCCCGCAGCAAGGCCGTCAGCGCGGGCACGATCCAGCTCGGCGTCGCCCACGCAGGACGCGAAGCACCGCCGAACGGCCTCCAGCTCGCTGCGCAGGGCCGCTGCCTCCGCGAGCGCCGCCTTCACTCCGTTGTCCGCTGCCTCGAGCGCCCGCCTCCGAGCCGAAGAACGCACCGCGCGCGTCCGCCGCGGCTCGCCGAGGCAAGCGCGCGCAGCACCAGGAACACTGCCCAGCGTCCCCGCCCGCGCCATCATGCACGAGCGCCCGCCGCCGAGCGCCGAGCCAAGCTTGAGCCAAAATGGCTACGGATGTATTCTGTGTGTTCTGCCATGCTCCTGTGTGTTCTGCCGTGCTCCTGCGTGTTATGCCGTGCTCCTGTATGTTCTGCCGTGTTCCTATGTGTTCTGCCGTGCTCCTATGTATTATGTGTGTTCTGCCGTGCGCCTCGTGCTCCTGCGTGGTCTGCCGTGCCCCTGTGAGCTCTGCCGTACTACTGCGTGTTCTGCCGCGAGTTCTGCCGTGCTCCTGCGTGCTCTGCCGTCCTCCTGTGTGTTCTGCCGTGCTCCTGTGTGTTCTGCCGTGTTCCTGTGTGTTATGCTGTGCTCCTGCTCGTTCTGCCAAGCTCCAATGCGTTTGCGTGATAAAGTTAAAGTTAAAGTTAAAGACAGGGCCTTCAAGGCGGAGTGGTGGGGCCAAAGGGCCAAGAACAGGACGCGCTCACCCGAGAGGGGCCGCCTAGGGCCGCCTCTCGCCGCGGGGGCCGCACTGGGCCTTCACCGCGCCGCCTCGCGCCCTCCCAGCGGGGCCGCCTTAGGCCGCCGCCCACAGTGAACTCGACTGCGACTGAACACAGGAGTCTTCACTCACAGGCAAAACAGCGCTACACACGGAGTGCAACTGCTTGCCTCATTCATCGAGGGGGCCCCTCACGCCCCTCGGCATCTGGACGACCTGCAAGCGGCCCTCGAGGATACGCTCACGCTCCTCGGCATCTGGCCAGCCTACACTACCGGGGCTGACGTCGATGAAGCGGGCCTCGGCCGAGCTCAGGAGAGACTCAACTCCCGACTTTGGCCCAATGGCCACGCACATCATCGCCGCCACCGTGAAATCGTCCAGGAAGTAGAACAAGCTCTCGCTGAACGCGTGGCGGGAGGCCGTCTTCGCCTCCCTCTGCTCGCACAGAGCCTCCGGCGCATTCAGCGGCCTCGAGAGCAGCCCCCGCTCGCCCATGGGCTCGGCGCCCTCCGCCAGCGTGCCCTGCTGCTCGGACAGCGCCGCCAGGTCGCCCTTCTGCGAGACCAGCTGCTCCGAGGTCGCCTCCAGCGCGCACGGCCGCTGCGAGAGCGCTTCCAGCTCGCACTTGGCCTCGGCGCTCTCCCCGAGCGCGCCCTGCCGCACGGACAGCGCCGCCAGGTCGCCCTTCAGCTCGACCGCGGGCTCAGCGCCCTCCACCAGCGCGCCCAGCCGCCCCGCGAGCGCCTCCAGCCCGACCGTGGGCTCGCTCTTCTCGTCGACGCCGCCGTGATCGCCATCGAGGGTCGCCCCCTCGATCCCGTCGCCGACCCCCTCGGAGACGCTCGCGATAACGTCCGCCGCGAGCTCCGCCTCTACGTCGGCATCCGACTCGCCCAGGGCCGAGCCGTACTTGCGCATGCACTCGGCCATGCCCTCCAGCTTGTGCCCTGGGCCTGCTGGTAGGTCGCTGCCGTCCGTCACCTGCCACACGGTGCCGTCCGCAACCTCGACAGCCGGTTCAACACCGAGGGCAGCGAGGAGAACGTCGACGCGGGCGGGCTCCAGCATGGCCCAGCAGCCCGGAGGCCGTCGCGGCCAGAAAGGGGCCGCCTCGGCCCGCATCTGCACTGGCCCGCGCTCAGGCCGGGGGGCCTCCGCAGCCAGCGCTGGCGGAAGGCGTGCCACAGGCACGGCGACGCAGATCTCGACCTCGATCGCCTCGCCCTCCTGCGGCACAGCTCGCCCGAGCCCGCCCAGCCGAGGCCCTCGGCGCGCAGCACGCAGCTGGCGCGCGCTGGCGCTCACGACGCCCAGCCCCTCGGCGGCCGAATGAAGCGCGACATCGCGCCGTAACTCGTCGCTCACCGTCGGCATGAACCCCTCCAGCAGGGCAGCAAGGGCCGGAGCGACTGCGGCAAGCCGCCGGGCCACCGCCCCGTCGCCCAGGGCCCGACTGAGCGCGTCGAGCCGCGAGTGGCACTCGTCGAGCTCGGCCCTCAGGGCCTCCGCCTCCGCACGCGCCGCCGCCAGCCCGCGGTCGCATGCATCCTGCGCACTCCGACGCGCAGCGGTCCGCTCGGCGCGCGAGCGCCGCTGCACCGAACACCAGGAACCGCCACGCGGCGATCCCGCCCGCGCCATCTGCTCGAGCCCGCCCGCGCGCGCCCGAGGCTGGCCTTGAGCCAAAATGGCTACGGAATGTGTTTGTGTGATCTGCCGCCCTCATGTGTGTTCTGCCATGCTCCTGTGTGTGCTGCCGTGCTCCTATGTACTCTGTGTGTTCTCTCGTGCTCCTGCGTGTCCTGCCGTGTACTGCCGTACTCCTATGTATTCTGCCGTGCTCCTGTGTGTTCCGCCGTGCTCCTGTGTGTTCTCTCTCTCTCTCTCTGTGTTGCCGTGTTCCCGTGTGCTCTGCCGTGCTCCTGTGTATTATGTAAGTTATGCTGTGCTCCTCATGCTCCTATGTGTTCTGCTGTGCTCCTGCATGGTCTGCCGTGCTCCCGTGCGTTCTTAGGGTTTGCCGTGTTCCTGTGTGTTCTGCCGTGCTCCTGTGTGTTAAGCCGTGCTCCCGCGCGTTCTGCCGTGCTTATGCGTGTTGGTATGCCGTGATGTCTCAAGCGAAAAACTCAATTTAAACATGCATGTGTTTTAATCAACCTGTTCAATCTATCATTGCTCAAGGATGTCTCAGGCAATCGCCCCATTTCCATAGGTGTGTTAAACTCGCGACTTTAACTTTCCGGTGGGATATTTCAAGCGACATGCCTACGCCTGTTTTTGTTGTAAAAAGCGCTGTTGCGAACAACTTAGTTTGTCGAAGATGTCTCAAACGAAATGCGCAGTTTGAGGAATCTCGAGGGCGCCCTTTGAGTCATGTTGGGCCTCGTTTGGGGCTCGCTTGGGGCCGTCTCGATGCCTTAAACATTATCCGGGCGATGGACCCAACCATATGCGGTTTGAGTAACGCGTTGTGGGTGCCGCTTTCGGCGGAGCTCCCCGTGGGGCCACGAAACGCGTGAGGGACGTGCCGTAATGGGTGGGGAAGGCGCATGCGGGCGGTGCCACTGGGGCAATCGGTGGAGCTCCCTATGGGCTGCGAAGCTCTGTACTGGGTGTGGCGGACGCGTGCGGGCGGTGCCCCTCGCTGGAGCTCCCGATGAGGCCACGAAGCGCTGCACTGATTGGGGGGGGCGCATGCGGGCGGTGCCACTGGGGTCTTTCTGTGGAGCTCCCTATGGGGCCACGAAACGCTGTACTGGGTGGTGGCCGACGCATGCGGGCGGTCCCAGCAGAGGCTTCGGTGGAGCTCCCTGTGGGGCGGTCCACGAAACGCTGTACTGTACTGGGACGGGGGGGGGGTGCGCATGCTGGCGGTGCCACTGGGGCCCTCGATGGAGCTCCCTATGGGCCCACGAAGCGCTGTACTGGATGGGGGGCCGCATGCGGGCGGACCACTGGTGCGCCCTACAGGCCACGAAACGCTGTACTGGGTGGGGGAGACGCATGCGGGCGGTGCCACTGGGGCTTGGTGGAGCTCCCAAACAATGGGGCCGCGAAATGCAATACTGGGCGGTGGACGACGCATGCGGGCGGTGCTTCTGGGGTCTTTCTGTGGAGCTCCCTATGGGGCCACGAAGCGTTGTACTGGGTGGTGGCTGACGCATGCGGGCGGTACCACATTGACCATCGGTGGAGTTCCCTATGGTGTCACGAAGCGCTGTACTTGGTGGTGGTTGACGCATGCGGGCGGTGCCAATGGGGCCTTCGGTGGAGCTCCCTATGGGGCCACGAAGCGCTGTACTGGGTGGTGGTTGACGCATGCGGACGGTGCCACTGGGGCATTCGGTGGAGCTCCCTGTGGGGCCGCGAAACGCTGTGCTGGGTGGTGGCTGACGCATGCGTGCGGTGCCACTGGAGCGGCCTTCGGTGGAGCCCCCTAGCGGGCCACGAAACGCTGTACTGGGTGGTGGCTGACGCATGCGGACGGTGCCACTGGGGCCTTCGGTGGAGCTCCGTGTGGGGCCACGAAACGCTGTGCTGGGTGGTTGGGTGGTGGCTGGCGAATGCGGGCGGTGCCACTGGGACGTCCGGAGGAGCTCCCTATGGGGCCACGAAGCGCTGTACTTGGTGGTGGCTGACGCATGCGGGTGGTGCCACTGGAGCGGCCTTCGGTGGAGCCCCCTATGGCTACGAAGCGCTGTGCTGGGTGGTGGCCGGCGGTCCCAGTGAGACCATCGGTGGGGCTCCCTATGGGGCCACGAAGCGCTGTGCTGGGTGGTGGCTGACGCATGCGGGCGGTCCCACTGGGGCCTTCGGTGGAGCCCCCTATGCCACGAAACGTATGAATGATGTGCTGAAACGAGTGGGCGATGACGATAATGATGGAGGAGGGAAGAGGAGGGGGAGGATAAAGGAGGGAACGCGGGGACCACCTCTTCACAACGACGGCAGCATTTCTTCATTCTGAAG